TCTAGGGTGCGGTGCTCAACCCGTTTCCAATCCGTAGAGCCAGTGTTTGTCCGCAGACAGTTTCCGTGGTCATGTGGCCAGCGCAACTAGACACGGAAGGCGGTCACCTTCCCACCAAGGCGGTACCTATTTATCAGCTCGCCTTTTTACATGCTTTCGAACGGCTAGGCTGGCAGGAGTTGGGACAAGCGACGGGAGCTCGATCATGTGGATTCGATCTTATGACGGCTGGTCTTCCGACCTTGCAGCACAGATCCTGCTGCGGTTTAACCTGCAGCGCCACCACATCCCTTGACTTACGAAAGATAACTAAGCAATAAATCAAGAGCTCTTAAAGTAAATGTATGTGGCAACAACTTGCATTCGTTGGACAGAAAGGACGTGACACTGCCTTAACTTGTTCAGCGTTATTACACAGAGACGGTGATGTCACGCCTGCAAATGAAATGCTCTTAAAATATCCTGTTTGATCATCAGTATTTTTAGCAATTTAACTGTAAATATAACCAGGAGGCCTTTTAAAGCTTGCTACCTTCTTCTCCAGCCACCATAATGAAAAAAAATTCCACCAATTGGATGAAATATGCAAGTTCTTGTAGGAAAACGCACGCACACAAGTATGTTTTCTTTCTTGCAAAAAACAACAACATATGCTTTTTGTGGAGGGAAATACACTTTGTGCCAAAATGTATTTGCCCAGCATCCATTTTCTGGAAAATACAATGTTTTGTGTGCAAAATAAAGATTTTTATGAAACGCATCAATTTTCTAGCTAGCGTTGCTGCTGACAAAGAAAAGCACATTTTTTTCACGCTCGTTTAAGGATGAGGAATCTTTCAGTGCTTGTTTTTTAGAAATATATATTTTTAAATGGGGTGACTCAATGTAATGCCACCTCTTTCACTGAGGATTAGAAAAATAGGTAAATATATATTGCATCCTTTGTGCAGTGAAAGTTGTGGGGAATACATCGTGCTGTCTGTCCTCCGACAGGGACATGAAAGGAATAGCAGGGTGGCTTCCGCAGCTCCATCCAGCATCTGTTACCTGAGACTCTGCCTTAAGAGTAGGATTGGCTCTGCTTCTTATTGGGCTCAGTTCCATCATAAATCTGAGTTAACAAGCAAATTAAAAGTGTGGAGAGGAGTGCCCCTTTGGGGCCCGTATTGTTTTAATATTTGCTTATCTGCTGGCAGCAGGCGCAGAAAGGGCATCTAAGGGCAAGATATGGCATGGTAGCCTTACCTTATGTCACCCAGTGAGTGTGATAAGACTATGAGGCAATTAATCAGGAATGAGATCATCCGTGAGGATATGTGCTGAGTGGCTCTTTAAATCTGCACATTCAGAAAACGAGTGCTCAGTCTTTTGTGTACGATCTTTTCTGCATTCTACCTCCTCCTTCGTCAGTCATTGTCCTTGGTAGAACACACAGAGTCTGAATTATAAGAATCCCTATCCAATTCATATTAATCATCCTCCTTTTTTTTCTTTTTTAACAAGATCTGTTGGTGTCTTTCTTTATGCCTTTTATGTGGTTATAAAACCTGCTGGGGATATGGTTGAGGGTTGGTGAAAAGATTATCTCTGTTCCTATTTTATTTTTCTGTTCTTCAGTTTCTCTTACATGATTGTTCTGTTGCATTGAGACATCTTTCTTTAAGCCCAAAACGATTCTCGATTCTAATCAAACCTAACTGGCACCCATGCTCATTGGAAGACTAGGATTAGTAATGCAAGAAAGTAATAATTTCAAACCCAGATCCTGATGCCCCCCCATCCTGCCCTACACAGTTGGCTTGTCAATTTTAAACCTCCTGACATGAGGTAAATTGGCGGTGCTGGTTAAGGATTATGTGATTTATATCTAAGTGTACACAGTTTTATGATTTCATGGTCTTGATTCGTTCGATGGGTTGCCCTCGTGATCCATAAAATTATTTGCGCCCTGTAGTGAGTCCACATTTCTAAGGCTCCTAACTTCGTTATATTTTCCTCCGTTAAAATCCCTGATTCCATGCCATACCATGGAACTGAATACCTAACACTATGTACAGTGGTGCCCCGCTTGACAATGATAATCCATTCCAGCAAAATCGCTGTACAGCGAAATCGTTGTCTAGGGAAAAAAAAAACCCCATTGGAAGGCATTGAAAACTGGTCAATGCATTCCAATGAGGGAAATACCTGCTCGTGCGGCGAAAATCCTCCATATGGCGGCCATTTTCCGCTCCCTGTCTTGCGAAATGAGGTCAGCAAAACAGCAGGGAGCCATTTTGAGAGCCGCCAATCAGCTGTTTTTAGATCATCATTTAGCGAAAATCGGTTCCCAAAGCAGGGAACCGGTCGTCATCAAGCGGATTTTCCCCATACAAACATCGTTTTGCGATCTCAATAGTGATCGCAAAATGCTCATCATCAAGCAATTTCGTTCTCTAAAGAGGTAATTGTCAAGCAGGGCACCACTCTAATTGGCATTTCCAGTCAGAATACATTAATT